TGATAGTACATGAATTGTCTAACTTGGTGTTAATCCAAGGCAGCGCTATATATCAAAGCATAGTTTCGTATTTCCTTTTAGGTCATGTCCACTTTTGCGTTTTTCAAGCGAAAGGGTAAAAACGGTTACGCCTTTATATATTGTTTAATTATTATTTTAATTAAAAAAATAATAATAATATTCATGTTGTTATCAACACGCTTCAATTTTATTCATAATATGATAAGAAAATCATTTAATACAAATTTAAATGAATCTTATCCTTTAAACGAGCAATTCTTACATATATATATATATATATATATATAATCGGAATCTCGGAAAGGGCTCCAGCGATTTTCATGAAATTTAGTATGTGCGTAGATTCGGGGGCGAAAAATCGATCTAGCTAAGTTTCATTTTTAGAAAATGTCCTTTTATCCCTATTTTCAGGGAATGAAAAATATAATTCGAATATGACGGTAAATTTCGCCGCAAGAGAAAATGTCATAATAGCTCGGTCGGTAATCGGGCGGCCTCAAAACAGACGGCCGTGGTTCGCGTCACGATCATTTACACATAATTTTTTTACTTTTTTTTGATTCCAGATCATTGCTTTCTTTATTTTGAATTTTTTGTCGATTTGTTATTTTGTTATTTTTTCCCTTTTTTTTTAAAGTTCTTTTTTTTTGTGAAAAACATCAGTTCATATTTTCTTATTATTACGTCGGTAAGATCGAAAAATATTGTGCATATTTCATTACTCAGTAATTTGTATCTAAATGTAATTTCTAAAATACACGATTTACCAAAAAAAAAAAAACAAACCGACGGTCCTCCAGGTACTTTATGAATAATAAATGGCGTTGAAACTGATATTTAAATATAGGTTATAAATTTTTACAAATTACATTATCATTATTGACTCAATATGTCGTGTAAAAAACAGAGCAGGAAATTCAAAGAATATTTCATAAATTTTAATTTACTACAACAGCTATGGTTATATTTTGCCCGCTATTAACGTTTTCATGAAGATTTTATTGAAGGAGCGTTTAAATCAAATTGGACGCTACCATAAATTAAGTTTTCAAATGAGCAAATTTACAACAAACAAGAGCAAGTTGCTTGAGAGCAGTCGGCGGCGGTAATTCTATGCGCATTCATTTACATGGCAAATTCGTGCGCCATCGATTTATAAGGGCGCGGGCGCGTTTATCGCCGGAACCGAAACAGAAGGATGCTGGTCCCAGGAGGCGCGTCACGGCCGAAATCCTATGCTAATCACGTTCGAATTAATTAATAAAACTTACGAAAGAGGCGAACTAAGATGAACCATAAAAAACATTGACTCAAAATCTTTAGACTTCAAATTCGTCGGGGCAGGTGCCAATACCCAGCCTGGGTATAAGGCGCCGGGTGGCCTTTTTTTATGAATTTCGGTAAATCTTAACATTCTAATTTATTTTGCGAATTTTTTTCTTCGCACATAAAAAACCGCACCCGAAAACAACGCCGATTCTGCTTCCGTCCATTACGAAAATAGAGTGCATCAATTGTTACATATTGCATTTTGTCAATTTATTTCAATTCTCTTTTCTATGAATATTTGCTAACGAAGTTTAAAAATAAACATATTTCGTTGCCACCTTTTAATAAAGAGGGCCCCGGCTACCTCACTCAACAAACTGAACGATCTACTCCGGTCCGTCGAGGCTCTACTGTTAATATGAGCCAGCGTATTTGGTGAGTTATGTTGTTTTTAAGATGAATTTACCTCGACTTTATATCAAAATGTATCGATATTAAAACTTGATTTTGGCTGGACATGACGAAAACGTCGATCCCTATAATTTACTTCAGGCAACCTCAATCGCGAAGTTTTGAACAACAAACTTGTATGGAAGTGATGAATCATATCGAAACTTTGATAAAAGCATTGCAACTTCTAATAGCTTCTAAAGATACAGGTTGGATATCAAACCTACTAGCGATTTGAACTTTATCTATATAGCTAACATGAAATGTAAACGTAGTGATGGAGGGAAAAATGAGAAATAATCAACACTATATGATTGGTTCTTATCAATTTCATTTAGTAATTGCCAATTTGCACAACATAAACATACTGAGCTAAGGCGGCACCGTTTCGCGTCATATCATTTTCTTTTCAATACAAGTTTTCTTTTTTTTTCTAACTGATGTAGATTTCGCCATAATGTCATTCACCATCTATCAAGTAGTAAATAAGCAGTCGAAACAGCAAGAGACGATTTCGTTATCACCAAAAACGGAATTAGAAGTCAGATTGATAAAGTATAACGAATAATGTAAATGAAATAAAGATAACGCCCGTGAATTTAATTTCTTTACGTTTGTACGTTTAATTAATTTTTTCAATAAAATATTAAAGATGTTAACATATTTAGCAGTTTTGACACAAATGTTAACGTTAACGACATGTTTTGTCCGTCAGAATTAATTATTATTGATAGTAACGGACTGTCTTCGCCCCATGACAAACGAGAATAGTGACAACTTCTGACATCGATGCTTTGTGATGCCATGATAAGTGGATAATGGAACAAAAGTGGCCTTAACGTTCACGGGACGTTGATTCGATATATGAATCTAATAAGTCTTACATACCTACCAACTTCGTAAAATATCAAAGCCATAAAAAAATTTATAACTGAGAAGATTCTATGTCAAAAACGTTAGAGCCGTTTATTCTAAATATACTTAAAGGCATTGTTTTAATAGAGGAACGTCGGATATATTAGAAATGTTTTTGGCCAATAAAATAGCCAATCTATTTGTACGCAGACTTCAGGGAGAACTAGGTTGACGAGTTTTATAAGTAACAGTGACTACCCTTCTTTGACGCCCTGTATACTGTTGATTAAATAAATGACAACTGAATCCAATTCGCCTCTTTTCTTCGCGTCTATGAGACGATCCAAAGGAATCCTTGTAAAAATTATTGTTTGGGTCGGCAACTGATGATCGGTAATGTCAAAAAAGAATGAAAGGTATATTAAAATCCTTCTTGCCACCATCTCTTCGGTTTTTTGCAATTAGTTTATTATCTCTTCACAAATCAAACCTAAATATTCCAATTGAGATAGATTATGACAACATAGTGAACAATTAATTTGCCAATGTAATATAAAGCCATTTTAAAGTCTAAAAAAGAAGCTTGATATTTCCTGTGTTCGTACGTTGTCTCTGTGTGTGGATAAAGTTCGCGCAAAGTTGGTCGTACAACTTTCGGTCGGTTATCTATTGTTACACGGTTTCATGCTTTGTAATTTCGTACGATAATAGCTTGTTTGTTAGGAGTGGCTACCGTAGGTCGGCTTGGGAAGTGACGATGATTAATAACTGAAATAGCTAGCGCTTAGTTGTACCACTTCAGTGTCCGGTTTAGGTAAAATGAGAATAAATGATTTAAACATACATTTGAGATATAACACTTAATAAGTGAATGGGCAGATCCATCCGCGGAAGTAGGACAACCTCAAAGAAGACCAGCGTGAAGTGGAAGTGTTATACCTTTGCGTTTCGTCTAGTGAGCGAGGGACGCACTTTGTTATGAGGTGGCAACGTATCTGCCGCATCCAGGGCATTGCAAATGTCAATACGCGGCGGTTATCACTTAACGTCTGGTGAACCGCCAGCTCAAATATAAAAGTTATTTACTTTAAATAACCAAATCATTAATTTCCTCAACGCTGATAAAGATTTGTTAACAAAACTTTGTGGTTGTTCTTAAATTTGCTAGTAATTCTGACATATAAAATGTAAATAGATCTACTTACAGTTACAGTTTATACGACACATCACCACGTGACATTTTAATTATAAGTTAAAAAGAAAACAGATTATTTTTTTATATCCTATTCTGTCGCGGCACATGAAATATATAATCTCTAAAAATTCTATAGTAAGAGTAAAAAATGCTTTCCAATAGAGCGCATTTTTTACACAGCGTTATTAGTCAAAAACTATAAATATTCTAAACCATACTTTTTTTAAATAAACGCATATTATAAATGTACAAAACACTAAGATAAAACCTGGTAAAATACTATATAGAGGGGATCGAACCCACACGCCTCTGTCAAGAGGCAGGTCCACTGTCCTCTAAGTCAATCCGGTCTTAAAAAAAGAATTGAACGTTCTTAACCACGATTTGTTTTACATTTAAAACACTGAAATGTAAAACCATCAAGTATTGTAATACGCTTTGCCGTTTAAATGAGTCTCTGCAATCGCTGTCCGTGAATTGGCGCAATCCAACAAGCGAAGAGGGGATCAGCGGTTGAACAATGCCCTCCAAAGCCTTCAAATTGCGTTCGCCAGCGTTGGCTAATTTAAAAACCATTTGGGCCATTAAAACGCCATAACATTGTAAGCTGTCGGGAACAAGCATTAATGTTTTTCCCAATTATTCGACGGCTCGAAAACAATTTGAAAGGCAATTTGAAGCGATGGACAATTAGCGCCGTTTGCTTTACCAGTCCGGTCAAATGGACCTTAAATATTTACACTTTCATTTTGCGAATCCACCTTCTATGTTACATTTCAATAAAACGATTGAGAACGTAATAACGTTTTTAAAGTAGTGACTCCCTGTACTTAAGTAATAAATATTGGGCATTAGTTAATAGATATTCAGTCAGTTTACATTGCAACCACGCTAGAGTAGCTGAAATCTGAAGCAATATACGAGCGAATGTGCACGAGGGGTTTGAACGAAATGAATCGATACTTTTGCCGCAAATCTAATCTCTTGCTTATTATTAACTACGATCGGGTTGTAATAGCAACCTTCTAATATTGAAGGTTAAACAATCAAACGCTCACCAGACACAAAAACGAAACTTCAACACTTAAAAAGACTATATATTAAGACAAACTGCCGCACGCAAGAGTGTTAATCCAACAACGAATAGCCTACCAACGAAGTTTCATTGCGAATAAATTCCATTTAACGAAGCGTATCAATTCGCAGGTTATCCAATTTTCAGCCATGTGGCGAGGCGCACCGATAGATTGATGAATGTTGAGACGATTATGCAGACGGTGTGTGTGCACGCGTGCAACTGTTTGTTAACGGATGGCACAACCATGCCGAGGAGTATAATAGGAGGGATTAAACGCACTAGCACTTTGAACACGATTGCAGAGAGGGTGGGACAAATACACGCTGTATTTACACAAAAGTTTTCGATTCATTAGTGGAATATTTTTTTAAAAAACGTTGTATACATTATATAGATAGAAATACAAATTTGTTAAAGATTGAGCCACATTTTTCGATTAAAGATAATAAAAACCCATCAACAATTCAAGAGTCGTTTTGTTACTGAGAGCATTACAGTGCCGCTGTTTGAAAAAGCAAATCTGAAAGAGACTCATCAGAAAGAGATTGTGATTGTGAAGCAAAAGGCAGAGATGGAAAAAGCTACGACGTGCAAAGATGAAACTTCTTCAGGTATATTTTTAAACCGTCAAAGATGGTAATTTATGACAGTGAAAAAGTACAAGGAAAATAACAAAATGGATTATATCAAAGTTTGTTCGTATTCTTTATATATTGCGAAAGTAATTCTGGAACGACTGCAATTCCCAGCATTTTGTTATGATTTACTAAAAGAAATATTCCTTATGATCTAAAATATTACTGAATTGTAGGGTGTTGACTGAGTAGTGATGACAAACAAAGGATCCCTGCAAGTGTGACTGAACAATAATGTAAGTAATTACTTTTAATAGTTTATGGACGTAACAAATCACATCACACGTCATGTTGGGCTCTGCCCAATTAGAATTCTTACTAAAATGCGGAATACAACGCCAAAGTCAAGCGAACAGATAGTAGGCTCCTGTGGATTCTGCGCATCAAAAAGTGCACGTCGTACAATAATAGGTGGTGATTTGAAAGCTGCCGCCGCCGCACAATGGGACCGCGGCCCCACCACCACTCACGCACGAGTGGGATCGATACACCTCGCGGGTCAACGACCTGACACAGCTGATGCACACGTCGATCGGCTAGTGCCGGGTGACGCTGTGAAAATCTGCCGAACTAGGGAATCTTAATGGGCAAACCTTTACGGTGTAGGCTATATTTTCTGTTGAACTATGATTATCAGTAAATAACTATACTTGAAACAATTTTTCTTCTTTCTTTATTTCATTAATAAGTAAAAAATAGATAAACGATGTCTTCTTTTGCAATCAACTGACTATTTTAATGCATTAGAACAAAATCTGTGATTTATAAATTGTTACATAAATATTTCTTTTTGGAAAACATGGTGTATTATTACTATATGTATCATGTATAACATAAAAATTGTCAGATGTTAACTATCGACAACAGACATTGCCTAGTTTAAATCTAAGTCTAATCTAAAGTACTGTATACGAATAAGTAATGGTTACTCATAATCGTTTTATCACACCAAAGTATGCCTAAGATCTTGAAAATTTGCAGCAGTCAAGTCGGAAGACCAAAGTTAGCAAACCATATTATTTCATTAATCCAACTATTAGCCATTCCAAGAGTCGCTGCCGACCAATACCGTGGTAGACATATCTATAAATAGATTATCGTTCAGCTCTGATTGAAATCATTAGGTTTCAATCAACAGTACGGAGCCCATAACGGCCGGATTGGGTTTAGCAATCTAGCAGAAACCAAATCGTACAATCCTTAATGACCCACATACGCAACAGAGATATAGTAACAGAGGTATAGTAAACTAAACCTTTGTTTTTTATGGATAAAAATCAACATGATCGAGTAAAACCATTTGAACATATCGAGGTAATGAAAACTACATTTTGATATTTCATAATTGTTTATACTGAAAGTACTGAAGCAGTTCTTACTGAAAATTAAAAAAAACTTTTATGATCAAAGCTAGTGTTATCAACTGGAAAAGAATAAACTATGGCAGACCTTTAACATATACCTATTTGGAATAATATCTATTTCATTCGCTATTTGTGTAGACACATTAGTTACGTGAGAGTTATAGTTTGTAGAAAAAGTACGAAAAGATTGTCGCCACTGTGTGAATCGAACCCACGTCTTCAGCATTCACGGCCTGACGCTTTAACCACTAAGCTAAACGGCTGATTGCCACACCGACGAAAAGCTTAACGTCTTTTATCTACATTGTTTTTTTAGCATTTGAAGCAATGCTTGTTAAATATCCTTTCCAGCATACGAGTACAAACAGTTACAACGAATATCTTTTTACAACGATAATTCGAACGAGATATCGATTTTTATTTATATATAATTTTTCTACAAATCATAATGGTTAAGTGCAAAGATTAGCACTCTAAAAATTTTAATTTATAAAAAGCAATGGCAATGGCAATTTAGATCAGTTCTACTGTTTTGGTTATTTTGACTTTAACGTCTATTAAAAAGTATTTACCTATATTTAAGGCCTGTTTTGGCGTGTACTTCCTTGGTATCACCAAGCAATTACATAAATAAATAAATATAATCATAAAATACCATCAGCGTTAATAAAGGCAACAAAATAGTGAAAACAACTGAATAAAAGTAGAAGTAGAAGACAATGTTAAAAATACAATATCAAATACAATAAAATTATAAAATATGTCCATGGAGATTAATATATAAGAATAGAATGGGACAACTTTTAAATATAAATCTATGTAAATACTTCGCACAGCTTTCGTTTGGAAAGTGCAAAAACTCCGTAATGCATTATTTATCGGTGAAGTTTGCAGCGACCCTTCAGTAGGGCTCTTAAGGGATTTGTAACTGTAACCTGAAAGCATTTAAGTAATTCCAAACGCTACTTTCAATTCTTATCAATCGAGCTATCAACCTTGAAGCGATTGATATCAGTTTGTTTCCGTGAAATTGTGGAATATATTTCTACATTAAGGCTTTTTGCAAGCCTGAAGTATTCTGTACATTCATCTCTAAGAGTAGTAACAACTACTAAAAGGTTTTATTGTATTAACAGGGTACATAAAATTATACCTGATTCGGGGCTGTGGCCGATAGAATGCAAGTCCTGCTGGGAACGGCGCCGCTGTCTATATTCAGACCTGTAGTCAGGCCACCTTCCGTACTGAGCTGGAGCGTTGAGGTACTCCTGGGACGAGAATCTCGATGCACGTGGTGGGGAAAATCCCATCTGATTGTAATAGTCGTGTCTAAATACCACGTCGGGGTGGTTGACGCCACCAGGGACGATCTGACTGCCAAAGTGCGCCCGGTGGCCAAGGTACTCCGGTTGCACGGGAGCATCGGTCAGCTCGTGACCGTGGATGGATGTGGAGCGCTGAGGGCCATAGTCGCGCATTCTATTGGAAAATTCCGTACCCATACGGTGCGGTGAGTAGTCCAACCCGCGGGGACCCATCTCAAAGTGGCCATGCTGCCTGTTACGATAGAAATGAGGCGAGAACGGGTTTTTGCTCTCTTGGCTCGGGCGCGCTGGACTGCTCGTGTCGGATTTTGGTTTCTCCTCAAGTTTTGTCTTGTCGTTGACTAACGGCTTGTCGGTGCCGTTCTGGCTGGGTTCCTTTTTGGGCGGAACATTCTCTTGTGAATTTCGTTGTATCTTTTGATGGGATGGAGAATCAGTCATGTCCTGTGATGCCCTACGATTGAACTCCTGTATTTTCTCGGGCACAAAACCCTGTTGCGGCAGTTGCGACATTATACAAATTACGATAAATACATAAACGACATCAAAACGTTTGTATACACTATGTAGCACTATTTTATAATTGACTACACAATAGTTCGTTTATCAAAACACTACAACTTCACAGTCTTGGATACACTTTCGACGCGTGCGTTCACATTTACAATGTGCGAGTTATAATATCTTAGGAAAATAAATCACAACCGTATATATAAATGGGCTGCAAGCAAATATTAATCAATTACCTAAAGGGAATTTCTTTTAGGGGAAAATAAAGAGGAAGAATTTCCATCGAAAAATAGAAACAGGACGCGGAAACGGAGTCCTCTTTATGTAATAAGAGGAGCCATCGGCTTCATTGTGTAAATATCGCGGACCTTCCCGCTCCACCTCATCACAACAAAAACTTTCACATTTTATAGGCTCAAACGATTTTATCAACCGGCCAACTGAATTTTATTGCTCAATTTTTTATTTGAGTTATACCTTTTTAATAAAGTAATTATTTAATGAAAGTAGTATCGTGAGTAGTTATAAACTTAGGATATTTATATATAGTGTCAATATTTTAAATTATAAGATAAATTTTCTAAAATGGATGTTTGTAAAAATAATAACTTGTTATTGAATGCAAATCAGGTAACGATTCCAGTGTGGAAAGATGAAATCAAAAATTTCTTAACTTTATTTTATTTGCAATAATGTTACACAAATATCAGTTATAATCGTAAATTTCTTATTATAGGCATCTAGTTCAGGTTTCAAAAGACATTAGATCCGAGGGATACGTCCAATTTACGTTCTAGTATTAACTTTAACCCTGAGGCGGCGGTCACGTTTTCCATCACATGCTCTGCGTCGACGTAAACAGTAGTCCCTAGTAATAAACTTCCAAGAAATAAGGTTCATTACTTGAGACGTGTGTTATTCATACGATGTCAAAATGAGTCCCGCTTTAAAAGACATTACGTACGTAACATACCTACCTAATAATATTCTATTCTTGGATATTTAAAGCATCTTTTTAATGGAAAGTTTTACAATAAATCGCAGAGGAATAAAATCTTACGTCTTAGAAGTTTTACTCATTCCGTTCGTTATGAGAGCAAAAGATTTATTTCATTTTTGACCACAGTAAAAGAAGATAGAGAATCATAAATCATCTGAAGGCGGGCCCGATAAATTTTCCTTGAACGTGATAAAGTGTTCAATTAATTTGCATATAGCAGGTGCTTGCAGTAACCGCTCTTTGAACCAGCTTCCGTGCCGCTCCAAGTGGAGCCCTCTCCACGCCTCGTCACTATCATATTAACATATGATTTGCAATTTCCCTACATAGGGATAAGAAAGATTTTCAATTTGGTGATAATTTCAACGTTCCAAAAATATTAAATATGACAACTTGATCAAAACTCCCTATAAATTTTTTATTTAAACGAAATTTAAGTGCCATATATAGTCGTATATATTCTAATTTTGCGAGTATATATCTCAAGATATAATATCCATTTAATGTATTTATCCATCCATACAGTTAGCACATCGTGTTTTTGCAACATTTTCGTTTAACTTGAAGCTTGGAATCCATCACCTATAGGTCGAATTTATATTGAAACTGTTATTTTAGATTTGAGGTGGCTTTTTTGGGGCCCAACGGCCACAACGGATAATCCGGTTTATTTATTTGCCGACTCAAGTCCACAGAGCGTATCTGATGCGCCACAGTGTAGAAATAAAACCTGAGCTAGTCACGTTTCAATTTTAAAATTTATATTTCTAATTAGACCTATTCCTAAATAATATAATATATCGCCGAAAGAATTATAATATAATTAACAAACGACCAAGAAATAATATTGATCCCGCATTACTCTTACTGTCTTTTGTTGTTGTTTCTTCTCCGTTAGAGGAACCTCATTACGATCAGATTTAAAAAAATACTATCGATAGATGAAATGTACATTTCTTACTTCGATGTATAAATGATTTGATTATTATTAAGCGAAAGAAACAAGTTCTTTGTGTCGTTGTTGCAAATATTTCCTATTATATTCGTTAACGCCTCGTCTGTGTTTTAACTATGTAGTCATGCTTTGACGTACCAAACAGTCACGAACATTTAAAGAAAATAAATACTTTTAATCTGTATCACCCATTTATTACTAGCAACCCCGCTCCACTCCTGCTGTCATTGTGTTTTTTCGTGCCGAACAAAACGTTGTGGTTATATTTTCTTTAACGAATACTTTTACGTTTTATGTGGATAAAACTACGAATTACTAAATGAATAAAAAATTGATAAATAAATAAGTTATTGGAGCTGTTGGACGTGTCCAGAATAAGGTAAAGCTTTGTATCGTTTAATATTTTATGTACACAAATATATTGCGCATCAAAAATGTTTTTATTTTCTATATCTATGGAGGATATATGTAACTTTATACGCATTAAATTATATATTTGTGACAAAAAGCTATGTTAAGGGAGATCATTAACTTTTAATTTCATTTTAAAATTGAAGTCATTTAATAAATTTGTAAAAACAACTCATTTCAAAATGGAGATATTAGGATATTAACCACCAAAAAATTTAAGTAACTCCTTGTGGAGTGAATCCCTTATTTTCTCTTAAACACACAGGCCAATGGCATAAAAATATCTAAGATTTATTTTCAGACATCATTTATGAGCTTTAAGTACTGAGAAAAATTTTAATGTCTTTTGTTTTTCATCAGGGCCATATGTATATACTTAACTAAAGGTTGTCAAAGATAACTAAAGGATGTAAGTGATAAATTAATATACTTAACAAAAGGATGTGAAATAAATTGACATGACACATAAATTTATAAAATTTTATTATAAACATGAGTAAGCTGAAATCTGAATTAGTGTAAATTCTTATGCTTTATATTAGATTGCAAAGAAAGGCAAAAATCATATGTTTAATAAAATATATTTATTCATAAAAATACATTAATGTACTATCAAAAATTTTACCTTGTGGCATTTATAATGTAACTAATGAGTTTTTAAAAATTTATTATAAACACGATAATTTTAAAACTGATATGCAAAGAAAGTCTGAATCATATGTTTAAATAAAATTCATAAAAAAAAGACAAGGTACATTGATAGAAAGAAAATAGTATGGTCTGGATAATAAAATAAATAAAATTCTTGATAGAAAGAAAATAGTATTTCTTCTATTAGTCCAATAAAAAATAATGCATTCTTTGCATGAGTTAGCAATTAGCTAAAAAAAATTCCAAATTTTACTCTTGAGGTTTCACTAGAGGAAACACGAGATATCAATCTAATTTAGTCTTGAGGTTTCCCTAGAGGTAACACGAGATATCAATTTAATTTAGTCTTGAGGTTTCACTAGAGGAAACACAAGATATCAATCAAATTTAGTCATGAGATGCCACAAAACGATTCACGAGATATCAATCTAATTTAGTCTTGAGGTTTCACTAGAGGAAACACGAGATATCAATCTAATTTAGTCTTGAGGTTTCACTAGAGGAAACACGAGATATCAATCAAATTTAGTCATGAGATACCACAAAATGATACACGAGATATCAATCTAATTTAGTCTTGAGGTTTCACTAGAGGAAACACGAGATATCAATCAAATTTAGTCTTGAGGTTTCACTAGAGGAAACACGAGATATCAATCAAATTTAGTCATGAGATGCCACAAAATGATACACGAGATATAAATCAAATTTAGTCATGAGATGCCACAAAAGGATACACGAGATGGCAGTCTAATTTAGTCTTGAGGTGCCACAAGAGGGCGCACGAGATGACAATCTAATTTAGTCTTGTTGTTACAAGCAGGTACACAAAAAGCATAAACATGCTTTATTAAAAACATTATTTTTAAAATTTTAACTTCTAGATCTCAAAAGAGAACAATTTCCCGAAGGGACCATGAAAAGAATACAAATCAGAGTGATCAACACTGGTGAAAATGAAATTAAAAACATAGCTTCCTGAACAAGTCATATCTGAACTTGTCAGAAAGAATTCAAAAAATTTAATACCTTATCAAAATACATCCTAATCTTGCAAAATTGTGGCAAAATCATAACGGAACTTGGTCTTTAATAAAGAAATAAAAGATTGAAATTATCAATAAAATAAAAAATCTTATTATTGTGTCCACCAGCAAACATGGAGTGAAAGAATTAAAGGAGAAATCTGCTGGTAGAAATCTTTATTTTATAGTAATTGGATAAAAATTACAAAACATAAAACCATATTAAAGTGGATATACCTGTAGAATGGAAATATTTTTTTTCAAACACAGCCTCCATTAAACAACTTTTTTTTTAACCCTAGTAAAAAACAAAATATAAAAAATGTTTTTTCTAAGTGGAAACATGGAAATAATCAATGTTTTCCCCAAAAAGGTTGAAATTGGTATTGATACATTGTGACAACACTATTACCAATGAAGAGTCTATAGTCACCGGTAATTTAGAAACCTAATTTGAACTAAATGATATACATACTGTAAAATTGTTCCAAAGTTTTTTGGAATTCCATTAGTCAACCTCTTTGCCACTAGAAAGAATGGCATGTGGAACCGAACTATTGGGCAGTGGATGGTTTTTACCAATTTTTTCTTTATATCAAGTCTAATATCTTAAGAAAGTTCAATTGCCCCTTACTGGCCATCACAACAAGTTTCACATTGTTTTCAACCTGTTGAAAAATGAATATATATATATATATATATATATGAATATTCTCCATCCAAATAAAAAGTTAATTATATATCCTCTGTGGACAAACAACCATTAAAAAATTGGTTTGCAGCAATTGTTTGAAACAAACATACCAAAAAAGGTATATTCAGAGGAGACTATATACACTTTAATCAATTATCAGGAAATGCTATCAAGCAGTATGATTCATGTTTAAGCCAATGGTGGGATTATTGTAATATTGGATCTCAACTTATTATCAAAGATTTCATCATTCTTAAATAATTAACT